ACAATGCAATGTTTTGAACATTGGAGAGCCTGTGTTACAAGTGTTTAATGTTGTGAGTTTTGTGTCTAGAGTTGTGGAAAATGACATTAAGGTTCTCAGATAATGGTCAAAGGGATTGCTAAAAACTGTAACTTAATGTAATGCCAAACCCTAACTAAACCATTTAACCTAATTCTAATCTTAACCTCAATTACCTAATTAACTAAACCTTTAACCCTAAACCTAAACACTCCTGCTAGAACAACAGCAGAGTCATGTACAATCTGCAACGCAGTTGTAACTCCAGTGCACTGGACTGGTGCAGCTACAGCTGTGTGTGTATGTGTGTGTGTGTGTGTGTGTGTCTGTGTGTCTGTGTGTCTGTGTGTGTGTGTGTTCTGGCATATGATATGGAGCATATGGGCACCATACCCGGTTGAGTATAGTGTTGCATGTGAATCGACAGGAGGGAGCAGGAACGGTACGTCAGCCTACGGGCTTAAAGCAAGTCAGTCACGGATGTTTTCAGAATATCTGCGACTTTCTGTGAGTTAGCGAAGAGGGAGGAACATTTGGACACGTTAGAGTGGCAGGAAACAGCTCAGCGTATTCACCTCCACTCCACTGGATCTGCTTCCAGCAATAAGACCCTGAACAGAACATTTGAACTGGATGTCTCTCCACTAGAGCCAATCGCGCACGCTTCCAATATACTGTCCCTCCCTCATTATCACTCTATCGTTTTCTCTCTTCTGTATTTTTTGCTCTCTTTCCATTTTGCTCTCTCTGCATCTCAAGTTTTTCTGCACATCCCCCCCAAACCCCGTGGCCCCTCCCCATCTCAATGTCTCTGCTGAAACAAGGGTCAGGCCTCTTTTAGCGGGACACAATTACAATGTTTAAAGAAACAGGGAAGAACTGGGCTTGAAATGACTAAGGATTTTCAATCAGAACAATTTTGTTGTTCAGCTGATGTCGACTCGGGTTCCGTTGATTCGCTGTCTCATGCAGGGCTTTTCTTCGCTCCTTTCTGCTCGGCATCTTTGCAGCCTCTTGCTCCATGGAAGATCAGTCAACTTCGAATAACCTTTTAATAATTTATTCGGACTTGTAATGGAGTTGCCTAGGGTTTATGTAAAAATAAATCAACTTTCTGCTCTTGATGACAGCACCATTGAGAGATATGGGTAATTCGAGTGTTATCTCAGGTGTTATACGAGGGGTTTAGAAGGCGGTGACCCCTAAAAACTTCCAAAGATTATTACGTCAACTCTCTGACATGTTTTAATCATTAAACCACTGTCAGCTGAGATATTTGCTAGCCTATAGCGGTATTTATCAGTCCGGTTTTAGACTAGGTCATAGCACCATCTCAGTTGTGTCCCTGGTTTGAAATGATAAAGGCCATAGCCTTGGCTGCCAATACAGTCTGCTCACACACACACACACACACACACACACACACACACAAACACACACACACACACACACACAGTGACAAAGGCTGAGGGGGCAGAGAAAGAGGAGAATGCGTGATAAGCCTGGAGCCTTGTGGAGGGCACGAGAGAGAATGCCAGCAATTCCAAACATTCACAACACTGTGTGGTGTCACTGCCCGCGTGCCACAATAGCCCGTTCTCCATCCTGTCAATGACACCATTGTAGCGTCAGGCAAGCGGAGTTGAGCCGCCAGGACCTTTTATAACACACACATTCCACACACACACTGCCCCCTTACACAGAATACACACCACTCCCTTCAATTGAACCACGCTTTTTGGCCTCTTCAGCCCCTCCGGATTCCTCTTTTCTGTACACTTTCCGTCAGCTATGGGAACCCATCCCTCTGTGTTTCTCCTTGTGGGTGCAAAGAGGCAGGATGGGGACATCCAGGGACAGTCAGCCAGGCATTCCTGGGGTACAAGCCCAGCTACGGACACCTGAGGGGGGGAGCCTGACAACTGATGTGTGTGTTATACTGGCTCTTCCTGCCTCTCTGTGGCGCCGTCCTGAAGTCTGCTGCCACCTGCGCCGGCAGCACAAAAGCCTCATGGGTAGTCGGACATGACAGGGGGGTGGGACTCACATATGTCACATGTCTGCCTGACAGTAGCCCTGCAAACACCTGTCAATCACTAGTAAAGGAGTCCAGAGGCTGTAGAAGGACTGCATATATCTGTCGGGAGTTGTTTGTCAATCTGCCTCTACACTTGTATACCTGTTGTTTGTGGGTTATTTTTTTAAAGTCTATGTGTGTGTGTGTTTGTTGAGAATATGAGAGTGTGTAGTATGTATATGTTTGTTAAGTGTGTGTGGGAACAGAAGCAGTTTATGTGACAGGGAGGACGGCTTGGCTGATTCGGGGCCGGCTCTCCTGTCGCTCTGACAGAGACATGCCCAGCGGGATACCTGGTGTGGGGGGGGGGGTGCCTACAAACTCCAGGTCCAGGCTATGGTGACAGGCCCCAGTGGGTAGGCCTCAGAGAGCCAGGCCTAGACATGCTGCCCCGCTGAGACTCTCAGAGGGACTTCCCTGAGTTGCTGGGAGGAAGACTGGACAGCAGGACAATGACTAGCCCAGGGGAGTAAGGAATTAGCTGACAATTAGTGTGAGTTCCTCTTTATGGCTACAGTAAGACACTTGTCATCCTGTCAGGCCTGAGAGGAACTCAGAGGAGAGAGAGGGATGAGAGAGGGATAAAGGATGTTATCCCTTTATCTTACCATTATCATCCTTCTCTCTTCAGAGAGATTACATTCTCCGCTGGCCGGATCACAGTGTGGGCAGTGTATGATATGTCAGCTGGCACACACGCGCGCGCGCGCACGTTACGGACAGGAGTGACTGCCTGCGCTTTGTCCTTACACTACTATGGTATGTATGGAATGGTTAGTATGGAACAGTGGTGGCCTTTTAAATAGATAAACTGAAGGTGTGGGGTTGGAGAGACGAGCAGGATGGAGTGGCAGGTGGCAGAAGATGTCTCCTCTACACTACACACACACACACACACGCACACACACACGCACGCACGCACGCACGCACGCACACACACTACACACACACACACACACACACACACACACACACACACACACACACACACACACACACACACACACACACACACACACACACACACACACACACACACACACACACACACACACACACACACACACACACACACACACACACACCCTAGTGTCTTCCTCTGGGGCCGTGAGTCGTCTTAGCAGGAGTGAGTCAGAGATGTTGGTGCCTGTTTAAGGACATTTTCACGTCCTATGTAAACCCCCAGTTCTGATCTGACCCAATTAAAAAGCAAGGAGTGTGTGACCAGAATGGAGTGTGTGTTGATTTAGTGGGATACTTCACTGTAGGGAACTGTTACTGACCGGTAAAATAATGAAATAGAGAGGAACCCACACGACCACTCACTGACTCACTGACTTTTACACATAGAGATTAGATTGAGATGAATAGTATCCAGGCTGGGGTTGAGGATTAGAGACAGCCGGTATGCTAGAGACTGTGTCAGACAAATACTATTATAACACAGCAGAAGTATGCTAGAGACTGTGTCAGACAAATACTATTATAACACAGCAGAAGTATGCTAGAGACTGTGTCAGACAAATACTATTATAACACAGCAGAAGTATGCGAGAGACTGTGTCAGACAAATACTATTATAACACAGTAGAAGTATGCTAGAGACTGTGTCAGAAAAATGCTATTATAATACCGCAGAAGTATGCTAGAGACTGTGTCAGACAAATACTATTATAATACCGCAGAAGTATGCTAGAGACTGTGTCAGAAAAATGCTATTATAATACCGCAGAAGTATGCTAGAGACTGTGTCAGACAAATACCTTTATAACACAGCAGAAGTATGCGAGAGACTGTGTCAGAAAAATGCTATCATAACACAGCATGTTGGATGTGTCTTTGATATCCATACAAGCATACTTGAAATAAGATTGACTAGAAAATACTGCAAAATAAAAAGGTAATTTAATCATTGACTTGGTTAGAAATAAGGAATTTTAACAGAAATTATTAGTGTGTACTTTATCAAAGTCCATATGCAGCATTGCAGACCTTTATCTTTAACTGTTTGTTGAGGTAATGCTTCACCCCACGCTTCCTGAAGCACCTCCCACAAGTTGAATCGGCTTGATAGGCACTTCTTATGTACCACACAGTCAGCTGCTCCCACAAGTTGGATCGGCTTGATAGACACATATTATGTACCATACAGTCAGCTGCACAACAGCTCGAAAGGGTTGAGATCTAGTGACTGTGCTGGCCACTCCATCACAGACAGAAAACCAGCTGAATGCTTTCTTCTTTTCTAAAGAGGTTTGTGTAGGGTTGGTAGCTGTGCTCTGGGTCATTGTCCTGTTGTAGGAGTAAATTGGCTCCAATCAAGCGCCGTCCACAGATTATGCATTGCAAAATGGAGTGATATCATTACTTCTTCAAGATCTCTTTTACTTTGTACAAATCTCCCACTTTACCATGCGCATGCACATCCAGTGTCTGTTCTTAATCTTAATTCACTGTTGTTGTTGTGACTGATGTTTTCTGTTTGTTATTTAGTAAGGCTGCCAGTGGAGCACCTGGAAGGAGTCTGTTTTTCAAACTAGACACTAATGTATTTGTCCTCTTGCTCAGTTTTGCACCAGGGCCTCCCACTCTTCTTTCTATTCTGTTTAGAGCCAGTTTGCGTTGCTCTGTGAAGGGACTAGTACAGGTTATTGGCAATTTCTCACACTGAATCCCCTTTAATTCTAAGAACATACTGAATAAACTGACACGTTTCAAAAGAAAGTTTCTTTTCAGCCAACCATTTCAGCCTGCGCTCGAACCATTTGCTGATGATAAAATCTTGTATTAGTAAAAACAATGTGCCATTGGAACACAGAACAGATGGCGGCTGATAATGGGCGTCAGACACATGTAGATATTCCACTAAACGTCAGCTGTTTCCAGCAATGGCAATACTGTATTTGGAGGAGTTGGATCAGTGGTAGAGTGCATGCTTTGTATGTATGATGTCCTGGGTTCAGTCCACAGCTTCTCCCTATGTCGCCGTTGCAAATTAGAATTTGTTGTCAATCGGCCTAACTGGTTAAATAAAGATTAAATAAAAAAATCCGATACATATATTATATCATTTTGCTGGACAAACGTTGACTTTCTTTTGAAAACAAGGACATGTGTAATTGACCCCAAACTTTAACACAGCTGTGTGGCGCTGTAGGTTTTTGTGAGTAAAGCCGCGTCCGTGCTTTTGATATTCTGAGGTAACACACTCCCTTCTCAGCTGTCCGAATCTTTGAGAGAGGTTTGTCCTCATCCCTGGAACGGTCAAGTTACACTTCACCTAATGCAATTTCCCGGGGCATTCACAGTGGTCTTAAAATGATGGGCTTATTGTTGATTATAATGATGAATGAGTGAATGTCACAGAGGGTCACATGCCTCACTCTCTCCCCAACAGACTGTTCTGAGCAGCACCGGGTACCTGTGTGTTTCTCTCTGTGTGTTTCTGTGTGTGTGTGTGTGTGTGTTTGAGGAAGCAGGTGCGTTTCCGGCCTCTCTGTAAGAATCATCCACGTAGAGCCCATCCACATTGTTATTCTGAAAGGTCATTACGGTGTACGTTGGTAGGATGATATAATACGTCTGCATTCAGTAAACCCTTTATAATTGCCATTGGATGTTTATCATTTTTATATATGACAGATATTTATAAATGACGAGGGGGAAAAAGGGATAATAACTCATCTGATTGGCTTGATATTTCCCTGATTCGCCGTCTTTCATCCCGTTCTCGACTGTTTATGTTGGCATCTCGTCCTTGACCTCGTCCCTGGGACCTCTCGTCTTCTTCTTCTTTTTCTTCGGTCGGCTTGTGAGTCATCACTTGGAAACAGAATATCCTATTTGCTCATGTTATTGTCCTCAACGTGCTGCTGTACCATGTACCCGTGACAACCCTAACCGGGGCTTCTCTGCTTTACTATTGTCCTCAACGTGATGCTGTACCATGTACCCGTGACAACCCTAACCGGGTCTTCTCTGCTATACTATTGTCCTCAAGGTGATGCTGTACCATGTACCCGTGACAACCCTAACCGGGGCTTCTCTGCTTTACTATTGTCCTCAACGTGATGCTGTACCATGTACCCGTGACAACCCTAACCGGGTCTTCTCTGCTATACTATTGTCCTCAACGTGCTGCTGTACCATGTACCCGTGACAACCCTAACCGGGTCTTCTCTGCTTTACTATTGTCCTCAACGTGATGCTGTACCATGTACCCGTGACAACCGTAACCGGGGCTTCTCTGCTTTACTATTGTCCTCAACGTGATGCTGTACCATGTACCCGTGACAACCCTAACCGGGGCTTCTCTGCTGTACTTGGTCCGGGCGCTCAGATTTACATATTCAAATTTAGCCGTCATTACACTGACTTCAGCTAATGATAGAAATAAAGGTATCTGAAGAGAATGGTAGAGTGAGCTTGGGACATAACAAGAGAAAGGGAGAGTGAGAGAGAAAGAGAGAGGGGCGGGGGGTCTTGGGAGAGAAGAGCAGAGAGTGAGGGCCATGGGTTCTTCCACGGTGGGTGGTCAGGTGAAGTGGGGGGAGTCACTCTTGCGGAGCCTGGGTTAGAAACTATAGAATTACTCCACACCATAAACACTCATCACTGCAGCTTTCAGTTTGCGGTCTCACTGTGTATTTTGCTTTGATTTAGCCCCGGTGTCGGTCAGATGCTCGTTCCTGCAGACCACATGCATGCAACAGTCATTCCACAGTTTCCTTGCAAATACTCTGCAGCGGGTGCCACACGCCACGGCTACAGTAAAAACCTGCAGGCCTGCGTTCAAACACAAGGATGCTGACACTTCTTCTGGAACGTTATGCATACCATAAAAGCTTAATCTGGCTCAGTGCAGATTTTAACAGCGTATGGTTAGACAGAGTAAATTCATATATCTCAATCCATATATATTTTAAATCTGTGAGAGAGCTGACTCATAAAAACAATACTTTCTGTGCAGAATTCAACTTTTCAAACAGGTGAGCTGGTTGTGTCCTTTTAATGCCAGCTGGCCGTAACTGTCCAACTGTGTGTGTGTGTCCCTAACCGGGGCTTCTCTGCTTTACTATTGTCCTCAACGTGATGCTGTACCATGTACCCGTGACAACCCTAACCGGGTCTTCTCTGCTATACTATTGTCCTCAAGGTGATGCTGTACCATGTACCCGTGACAACCCTAACCGGGGCTTCTCTGCTTTACTATTGTCCTCAACGTGATGCTGTACCATGTACCCGTGACAACCCTAACCGGGTCTTCTCTGCTATACTATTGTCCTCAACGTGCTGCTGTACCATGTACCCGTGACAACCCTAACCGGGTCTTCTCTGCTTTACTATTGTCCTCAACGTGATGCTGTACCATGTACCCGTGACAACCCTAACCGGGGCTTCTCTGCTTTACTATTGTCCTCAACGTGATGCTGTACCATGTACCCGTGACAACCCTAACCGGGGCTTCTCTGCTGTACTTGGTCCGGGCGCTCAGATTTACATATTCAAATTTAGCCGTCATTACACTGACTTCAGCTAATGATAGAAATAAAGGTATCTGAAGAGAATGGTAGAGTGAGCTTGGGACATAACAAGAGAAAGGGAGAGTGAGAGAGAAAAGAGAGAGGGCGGGGGTCTTGGGGAGAAGAGCAGAGAGTGAGGGCCATGGGTTCTTCCACGGTGGGTGGTCAGGTGAAGTGGGGGGAGTCACTCTTGCGGAGCCTGGGTTAGAAACTATAGAATTACTCCACACCATAAACACTCATCACTGCAGCTTTCAGTTTGCGGTCTCACTGTGTATTTTGCTTTGATTTAGCCCCGGTGTCGGTCAGATGCTCGTTCCTGCAGACCACATGCATGCAACAGTCATTCCACAGTTTCCTTGCAAATACTCTGCAGCGGGTGCCACACGCCACGGCTACAGTAAAAACCTGCAGGCCTGCGTTCAAACACAAGGATGCTGACACTTCTTCTGGAACGTTATGCATACCATAAAAGCTTAATCTGGCTCAGTGCAGATTTTAACAGCGTATGGTTAGACAGAGTAAATTCATATATCTCAATCCATATATATTTTAAATCTGTGAGAGAGCTGACTCATAAAAACAATACTTTCTGTGCAGAATTCAACTTTTCAAACAGGTGAGCTGGTTGTGTCCTTTTAATGCCAGCTGGCCGTAACTGTCCAACTGTGTGTGTGTGTTTGCTTCAGTCGTTAATAAAGCATCAGGTGACACTTCAAACATGAACAACCACCAACCAGGCTAATCAGGGGACATCTGATCTCTAACAGTCCCAGCGTGCTTCATTAGAGATGGGTGTTGACAGACACAGTTCTGCTCCTACCAAGTGCCAGCTACGCCCCTAACACCGGCCCTAACACCCCTAACACCCAAACACACAGCCAATGCCATAACACCCGCTCACTACCACCGTTTCATCTCGGCATTCTCGAATGATGACTGACATTAGCTCCAATTACCAAAGAGCTGCAAGTAGCAGAGGAAGCGGGTGGCGTGGGGGATCGGAGCTTATGACTGCCATATGGACTAGCATGGTCGTACTGCCATATTCCACCAGTAGAACCTCCCCCTGCAGGACTTCAACCGGGGGCAGGGTGATACCAGCGCACACGCCTGCTGTCTGGATGTCTGCAGGTTGAGGTTCAGACAGCTGGCATCATGTTTCTGATTGTTAGACTAATCATTCGCTCAATTACTCTGGAATGTGGAGCAAGAGATGAAGGAGGGAAGAAGGAAGGAAGGACAACTGCCATGTTCTGACCGATCAGCACTCTCCTGTACTCTCTCTTTCTCCTCCCACTCACCCTGCTAGTCTCTCTCCTCTACTCTCTTTCTCCTCCCACTCACCCTGCTACTCTCTCTCCTCTACTCTCTCTTTCTCCTCCCACTCACCCTGCTACTCTCTCTCCTCTACTCTCTCTTTCTCCTCCCACTCACCCTGCTGCTCTCTCTCCTCTACTCTCTCTTTCTCCTCCCACTCACCCTGCTGCTCTCTCTCCTCTACTCTCTCTTTCTCCTCCCACTCACCCTGCTACTCTCTCTCCTCTACTCTCTCTTTCTCCTCCCACTCACCCTGCTACTCTCTCTCCTCTACTCTCTCTTTCTCCTCCCACTCACCCTGCTACTAATTCCCTTACTCTCTCTACTAGTCACTCTACCCCATCACACACCCATGATATGTGTGGTTCCACCTATATGGAGCTACCAGTCAGGTGCTACCATCTAGTTACTACTAGTGAGATCATCAAGTTCTGGCTGTCTATCTAACATGAGTCAAATTGAACATTCAGTTAAAATTACATCTGTGAAGTTCCTGTGTTTATAATTGGGGTTGTTGGCTCTGTGAATTCAGCGTGTTGACATCTGTGAAGTTCCAGTGTTTATAATTGGGGTTGTTGGCTCTGTGAATTCAGCGTGTTGACATCTGTGTAGTTACAGTGTTTATAATTGGGGTTGTTGGCTCTGTGAATTCAGTGTGTTGTATGTTTAACGCACATTCCCACATACCACTTTCATTAAGCCAGTCCGACCAGCTGCGCTGTCCTGGAGGAATTCAACATGACTAACTCTGGACGACAACAGAGACGATGGTCTGGAGGAACATCTGGGTGTCCCACTGGTGTATTTCTCTAACCTAGAGGCTACAGCTAACTCTCCTAGAGCAGAACTCTGCAGCTGGTTACAGCTTTTAAAGTGAATCCGTTAGCAAATCACAGTGACATATTTGTACCACTGGTACAATCACACATGATAGTCGAAATGATTCGACGTTAAGATGCGGAGAAGAGAGAGTGCTGCTTTGGCATCAGATTTAGATGTTTATCTGGAAACAAATTGATCCATGTAGCCGAGATAAGTTATAAACTGACAAGTTCCCGACAAATCAACTGCAAGTTCAAGACTAGGAGGACAAAAAACTTTTAGGTTATTTAAAATTCATTATGAAGTACATGTAT